ATCGAGTCAGCCTCCATTGTCGTGCCCATCGTCGATTCCAATCCTTGATTCGTTTTTTTGTTCTTCCAGACAAAGTTTGACCCTTTTGGGGTCTGTGGTTCAATACGACCTTGAGGAACACCGGAGCGGGGAGGCGAGAATCTTTTCCACCTTCGCTACTCGAGCCGCAACACCTCTGAGGGTTACCGCTCGTTTCGCACCCAGTCGTTTTGTGCCCAGCTAGGTCGTTTCGTATGCGGTACGTTGAGTCGTTTCGTACTCAGCTCGGTCGTTTCGTACCCAAACTAATAAAGTCTGTTTCGATATTAAGCATTTTTTGAGGTAAGGTCGGTTTTGCTAACATGGTGTCCATTTTTGAAGCGCGACCACCGAGTGTGTCCAATTTACATTATCAACTCAGTCGATAAAACCAAATCATCGAGTATAACGCGTGGAACTGAACGTGGGTGGTGTAAGAGTCATAATACAGACGCGAAGAACATTTCTAACAAAAATATTTATATTTTTTTTCCATCCTAAGTTTACATACATTACAATCCAATGCTTGCCTTTAATTTTTGTTAGAAGAAACAAATTCACTACCCTTAATAACAATGGGAGAAAAAGCATCTCACTCGCATGAACTGTTATTGTTAAAAAAGTCTCAAGTATAAACAATGGACTTTTATAGTTAAAATATCATACTTAACTTGCGTTAGTTAATAAGGTTTCTAGCATATACAACAGATTTTTTTTGTATCTTTATTACTCGTTTGACTCTACTAACTTGTCGTACGCAGAAACTGACATCTGTTCACGTGCTTTCGCGTGAGGTATATTTGGAGGGGTAAAAACTCAAACATGGTAACGAACCGATCGCATTTGGGTACGAAACGACCCGGTACGAAATGACCGTAGGTACGAAACGACTGGATACCCTTCAGGCTGAGTAATTACTTGCACTGAGGTGGCTGTAACTCGTATAACTGAACCATTTTCATAGGTCAACTGTTAAGATCTTTTCACATAGATTTCAGATCCAGACCTATTATTGTAGATGTATACAATCTACATACTATTGATCAGTCCGCAACTTTTTGTGCTCTTTCTCGTTTCTAGCTAGGGTGAAAATGGAGGTTGATAATATTGGGTTGCGAGAAATTGTAACCATCACAATTAAAAAAATTCATGTTTCGTCTTGTGAAATGTGAAGTCTATTTACAAAGACTCTTCATTGCCTAATTTGAGTTTTCAGTTGAGAACAATTGCATGATCGAAAGGTATGGAGAGCAGCACAAGACTCTTCGTAAATAAAACCTCCAGCAATGAATTTTAGTCCACTTTTATTTAGCAACAAATACCCTGGCGACAACTCTGTTTAACAATTGATCGATTAAAGTGCGTTCCAAACTAAAACAGAAAGTTACAAAAGCTCAAAATATGATTAGAGAAAAGAAAAGAGTGGTATAATGTATAACAAGTACAAATGTTGCGCGTCTTTTTTTTTGGCTGCACTTCATCTAATTTGCGAGAGTGAACTACTGGCTCTAACGAGCAAAACGAACTAATTGCAAGCTAACTCTATCCGCGCTGAAAACAACTAATCTTAACTACAAATTAAAACAGTTTGCACTGTGACACATCCCACACGATCGATAAAAAATCATAGTAACATTCTCAGACAGTGTACAAAAAGTAAAACAAAAGAAGACTAAAGGCGATATAAAAAACTGTGTTGGGATCTTGGAAGAATTGTGAGCAACAACTTGATCACTCATCTAGCATTTTCCCACGTAACGTCAAAGGATGCATACATATCAGGAGAAAATAATGCGAAAGTTTCTCTGTACCATTATCGTCATTATTATCTCCTCTTGATACATAGTCAATGCGAGAAAACCACATTGAATATTTAACTGTATCATTTTGACTTTAAACTTCTTCTTATCATCAATTCTTTTTGCTTTCTGTGCTTTGTTTTGTGTGTTCTGAATCAAAGGGTATGGGATCCATAGAGAGAATTCCTCAATACAAAGGTTATTTGAATTTGTACGTGACCAGTTAAAGTGGACGACAAAAAGTCAATACACAGGAGGTTTTTTTTCTTATCTTAAAAGCTGTCTTCTATGATTAGCATGTGTGCTGATGTTTCCTGAGTTCGCGATTGTGGCGTTTTCCTATAAAAATTTCTGCGTAAACATTGTCTGAAAATCTCAGATCTGTTCTAAAAATATTGTTTTGAAGAAACATCTCGCTAAGTGACCGCACAGGTTTGGCGTTGAAGAGTCTGTTGGAGGTTTAACTCATACATGCTGTGTCCACTTATTGCATTATTTTCCTTGCAACCTGAATACATAAAAAAGGAATTGTCAATCAGCGTCAACATGTTAATTCAAGACAAGCGCATTCTCAGGCGAGGAAATTGCAGTAAAAATCTCAAAAAAATATAAATCAGCGAAGTAAAATTTCATTTCAACGTAGGACCGTAATGTTTTGTAACTTTCGTTGCTTTTTTTTTCTCTCTTTTCTGAACAATGTATTTCAGAAAAACGTTCTCGACATGCAGCTGGCAAAGTCGAGTTAGGTAAAATTTAAAATAAACAACTAAAATTAAACTGTTCCGTCGGCCGGATCACATCATCAGATGCGCTCTACTTTGCTTAATGTCCATCTTAAGTTCAGCGCGGGCCTGCACTGACGGCTGGATTTCGCATTAATCCTTACGAACTGGCTCACAATTTAACCCTTTGTAGCAGTCCTTGCTTTATTTCAGCCGTACAAAGAGTCCTTCTCACATTTTGGAAAGCACTCAGGCCAATTATTTAATTTTCAAGAAGGCTCTAAGTTACATTGATAATACGTGACGAATCGCAAAAGTGAAAGGATGACTGGAGGAGAGGGAAATATTTCTCAAGAGCTCATCCGTCTTAGTATCTCTCACGAATCTGAAAAAACAGGTGACGTGATCACAGGTACGATTTTGCACATTTTCGTCTCCATATTGACAGCGCTGGAAAATCTTTTGGTTCTCATTACAATTTTGGGAAGTTCCAGGTTACGAGTTTCGCCCTCGAACATTCTTCTATGTGGTCTCGTCCTATCGGATTTATGCACTGGACTGATATCGGAACCATGTTTCATTGCGCTGCAAATTTTGGTTTACCAAAACAAACTCACTTCATGCGTCTTTCCAATTGTCCATGTCATCATATCTTCGTTCCTTAAAGGAGTAAGTCTTTTCACAGTAACAGCTATAAGCATTGATCGTTATTTTGCGATATACTTTCATTTACGATACCCAGAAATAGTCACAGAGAAGAGGGCACAGATCGCATTGGTTTGCTTGTGGTTTCTTAGTGGCATGGCATCCATAGCTTGGAGTTCTGGCTATGTAGTATTTTCTCAGGTCACATTGATTGTGACAACAGTTTGCCTTGTTGCTGTGTTTTACACTTGGACTAAAGTTTACCAAGTAATGCGCCGCCATCAAGCTCAGATCCATGCGCACAGGAACACTGGACCACGTCAAATGGACATGTGCAGGCTTAAAACATCTTTCATTAATACCATGTATATTTTAATGATTTTTCTCGTCTGCTATCTCCCTTATCTTCTAATTTCCTTTGTTTTTGCTTATGAGTTGCATCCTACAGACGCAACTTTTTCACTTTACATGTTCTTTTACTTTTTTACACTCGTGAATTCATTGCTAAATCCGTTACTATACTGTTGGCGTGATCATAGTATCCGCAGTGCTGCTAAACAAACTCTGAAAAAATTATTCTGTAAATCACAATCACAGTAAGAAGTTGAACCTTTGTCGTATGCTGTCGTTATTGTGACATTAGCGATGCAGCTAAACAAATGCCATGTTTTTTGTACCAAAACTCAAAAGGTGCACGCAAAGTATAGAGTGATTCGTGACAACGTTTCATTCATAAGTCTTGGCAAAATGGACGTGTCACGTACACTTCTGGTGCAGTTTCACGAATGACGAGTAAAAAAAAAAATTAAAGGCTTCACATCCTCCTCTGCTCAGTTGTAAATAAATCAAGGACGCCATGATTTGCAAGGAAAAGTTTCCGATTGTCATCGTAGCACGTAGTTATAAAATGGTATCACACGTGTGTTGTGATGTATCCAATAAATCTTTGTTTTAGGCAAGTTTTAAGGATAAATTGAGGTGTAAATTGTTGATTATCGTAATTCAGCCATAATCACGAATAAGAAATGGAATTGTCTAACAATAATTACGTTAAAGTTATGCTCAGAGGTTGATTTTGCTAAATAATGTTGTTTGAACAGGTCTACATCTGATTGATTCAAAGTGTCTTAGTTGTAACGTTAATCTGATAGGAGTGCTATATAAAATCCTGAAAACGGTGAGCTTGGACGGTGAAAAGAAATGTAATTGAACCCATGAAGAAAATGAAAGATGCTCTCTTGGAAAATAACGGAGCTGCTAATCTAGGGAACCGTAAAAAAAAATCTCCCGCTTCTAACGAAATTGGAAAATATAGTTCACGAGTCACGTACATCTTAGGGGAGATTTCACACTCAACACGAACTCGTGAGTTTACGAATCACGTTTCTCAACCTGTATCCGCCATCTCCACGTGGCTATATACTCTCTTTGTTACAAACATTTTAAACCATAAGCAAGATGTTGTCCTTTGTAACTCTTTCCTTATTACTTTCGTGCATCAGAGCTAATTCTTGTTCTACTTGTGGGTCTTGCCGACACGTTTACCGACCCCCAATATAAAATTTGGTTCGGCTCGTAGTTGAGTACCCAAGGAGGAACTGGATGGAATTATCGATTTAACACACGAATAGATAAAAAAAAAATCACCCATATACGGTACACTGCTGCAAATTTTAAAAGTACTAAAACTCGAGTTGAATTAACAAAACTTGAGTAAAACTTGAGGAAGGTACCTTTAATGACAATGGAATCACAATCTGACCATTATTTATTGTAATTTCGTCAACATGCACCTTAAGCTCAACTAGACGTAATCCACAACACGGGAGTAAGTTACTAAAGAAACTGTGGTGCTGCGTCGGTAGAGGAGTATAACAAAGTAATTTTGATTTTATCAATTGAGTTGACTATGCAAACTGCCCACAGTAAAGAGTTTCAAAGCTGACGTTTCTGGCGTTAGCCCTTCTTCATTCACTCTGACGAAGGGCTAACGCTCCAAACCTCAGCTTTGAAACTCTTTACGGTGGCCAAATTATATCATGAACTCAGTTGATAAAAGCAAAATAACCTTGTTCGACATAATCCACTTGATCAAGATTCATGCTCATTCCTTTTCTTTTTAGACTCAAAATCACTTAACAAATACATATACAAGATATGTCATGACACCTCTTTCGTAGAATTACAGGACACTTAAAATATGTACAAGAGAAAATTTGCCTCATGCTTAGTATTCAAATCTGTTAGGTTCACTTGTAAAGTAAAATAAAACAAAATACTTCACTGGTTCATACACAAATGAAAACCAACAAACTTCTGTTAGCAGTATACATACAGTATCTCTTGATGTATAGACAAGTCAAAGATTCTTTGTGTGGTAGGGATAATAATTTACCATAAAAGGTTTATCCCATTCCTAACTTTTATTAAACCCTTGGTTACTAAACAAGTTTTTTTAAAGTCATATTTTATAGTGGACTCCCAATATTTTTGCTTCTGTCAAAACATTACCGTGATTCTTAGGCAGTGAATTTGCCTAGATCGTGACATCCACTAAAAAGCAACAATCTTGACATATGAAAAGACTAAGCACAGCAAGGAATACCTTGGAAAATTTTCTTGGAACTTAAAATTGAGTACTACAGATCAACAAAACATTCGCATAGCAGTGGGGTTACCAGTTACAAATTAAATTCTAAAATTTAGTGTTTGACCAAGTCTAATTTCTTGCTAGAACTGGAAGGCCAAATTCATCCACTTGTACTCCATCCTGAAACAGATAAGAAGTGAAGACAAAAACACCATTTTTTAAAAAAAGATAATTGACATAAACCAAATTACATGCCAGTGAGGATAACATTGGCCACAGTCAAGA